TGTTTTTGATGTCGATGAGACGTCAATCTGAATGTGACATATTCCCGTTTCCGGCGTGATTCTTTCATTCTTTGCTTGATTCCGGTAGAACTGTAATTTGAAAGGGTGTCCACCGCAGCCACGGGCATTCTCAGGACCCTGTCATGCTTTTCTTGTTGTTTTTTACATTGGACGGCAAGAGGAACGGAGCGCATTCCATCCTCGCACATCAGGTATTAATCGTTGAATTGTTTCCAATGAGAGCTCACTGAGACTTGGGATCGCCACAACCGCCCACCGACTTGTTTTATCGCCATGAGCTGTCTTATTGACGTTTCGGTAGGCGTTGATGTCCGTTTCAGATTTTTTTCGATTGGAACTCACGTAACCCAAAACAGCAAGTGTTCCATCATATGCGCAGTGCTGTGTAAAGTGTGCAAATATCGAATCCGCGTCCAATCAGCCTGGGGTGCGAACTTCACCCTCGTCGTGTCTCAGTACGTAGCGCTTGTACTGAACCCTTATCAGCATAGGAAAGAGAGGGCAAAGGTGTCCCGCCGCGGCGGCGGCGCGCCCCCTTCACCGGGCGGCGCTCCCTCCCTTTCCGCAGCGCCCTCCCTACCCCTCCCCCCGCCCTGCCTAGCGTGCCATGTCCGCCTTGCAGACTTGATAATTGGTTTGGCGGCTTCAGCGACAGGTTCGACGGCGGACGCGGCCAGGGTGATGGGGCTCAAGTGGAGCCCAGCGCGCCTTGCATGCCTTGCACAGCAGAGTAATCTGATGGCTCGAGCAGGGTGGGACCGTAGTATTGGCGAGGCTTTCGACTTGCCCGGCGCAGCACCGAGGCCGCGAGCTTCCAGACGGTGGGCCTGGCCACCGCTCTGTACTTGCCGTCCCGTGGTGCAGCAACTCGTCCGTGAGCAAAAAGGGCGATTGGCAATTGCGGAGGTCACGGTGGCCCGCGACTTGGACGTCTCCGCTACGCCGCAGCAGGCGCGGCAGCAGGCGCGCACGCACAGCCTTAACGAACAGCCGCACGAGCGGCGCACCAAACGCATGCAGAAGAATAGCGCCCTGGACGCGGTGCAGGCGCAACCTGACCCAAGCGCTGGCACCAAGAGCGCGCGCGCGGGCAACACCCTTGTGTAGCGCGTGGTGCACCAGAGCGGTGCCAGGGGCGCTTCCGGGGACGCCCGCGATTCTGCGTGGCGCGCGGGCCGCCCCTACGCCCAGCCAGAGAGGCATGGTAAGACAGTCCCCCGACGCAGTCGGACGGCTGAGGTAGAACAGGCGTGGACCGTGGAAGGCAGCCGCTGCTGCAGCGCTGCCGCGGCCCAAGAACTTTGGATGATCGGCCGGGCGGCAGCGCGCGGCACAGACTGTGCCCGCGGCGTGCCCGCGGCGGGCTCGCCGCGTCCATTTCGGCACACCCTTCACATGCTTCGTGGCCCCATGCGGAGCTCCACCGAAGGCCTCATTTGGAAGGGCTCGCATGGCGCCGCCGCGCTCATTTCGACATGCCCATCACACACTTCGTGGCCCCATAGGGAGCTCCACCGAATGCCCCGGTGAGAGGGTTCGCACGGCGCCGCCGCTCCTGTCAGTACGCCCCTCACGTTCTGTGGCCCTGTAAGAGGCTCCACGGAATGTCCCAGAGGCAGGGCCCGCATGGCGCTGCGGGGCCCATGTCCGCACACCCCTCACACGTCCCGCGGCCCCATAGGAAACTCCACACCGTGGTCCACACGGAAGGCCCCCGTGGGAGTGTTCGCATGGCGCGGCCGCACTCGGCACACCCCTCACCTTCCGTGCCCCCTGTGCGGAGCTCCACCGAAGGCCCCACTGGGAGGGCTAACATTCCGCCGCCGCGCCCATGTCGGCACACCTCTCAATCATGGCGGTGCCCTCCAACTCCGTCTCATCTGCCTCGTGACACTCGCAGCTGCGTGTGGTTGGGTCCTTCAGCAGGACTCGTTGTTTGTGCTCGATTGTTTTTTTTTGTTGGACTCTCTTTGAGAAGAGGGAAAAGGCGTCTCCACTCCGGCTTCTAGGACCCGATCCTCAGCCGCACCAGAATCCTGAGGTACGCGCTGGAGACCGGAGGCTTTTGAGGTCCCTGGCGCTCTGGTCGACAGCTTCGTCCCGACTCGACCATAAGCCTCGAGGTGCATCGTGCTCCTCTCCCTTCCATTTCCTTTGGCTTCAGTTGCTCGTGGCAGGATGCGGGATAAGATAACGTGTTTCACATGGTCCCCTTGGGGCATGTCCGCAGGGGACCGTGATTCATACTTCTCGGGGGTGGACTCACCCCTCCTATTGTATGAGGCTGCGCCAGGACCTGGGGTCGTGGTTCTGGTGCTGGCCATGGGGTGCGCGGGGATCAGCAGTTGTTATGCTTCGTGTGTGTGTGGAGGTCACCCCACCCCAGCCCGTCAGGAAAGTCTCCGACGAGTCTCGCTGAGGCAGCGGCCCACAGCTTACATTCAGAGTCAGGTTGCATGTGAAGCCCCATAGGCGGTCTTCTGATGTGTTGGTAGGGCTGCGTCCTAGCATTCCAACTCCACCCCCTCCTTCTACTCCCTGCCCTCTTCTTCCTCCCAAGCCCTTTCCTTCTCCGCTCAAGGCAGAACGCAGAGGGTGGCGCTGAAGACGCCGAGACCAGGTCGAAGGTTCAGGTCCCGCAGCGCGTCTTGTCCTTATTGCCTTCTCGCTCGAGTCTCCTGCGAGTGCTTCCGTTCATGCCCTGACGCGTCCTTGGAGGTCCGCAAGTTCCAGGAGGGGAGGAACACAGCCACACTTGATCGTCGATTCCTAGGAACATATGGGGACATATGGACAGTGGGGGGGACGACGAACACCCAGAATCTGTGCAAAAGTAGTGGGGATCCTCGCATTTGTGTCTATCCATTTGTGTGCTCGTGGGCCCCTCCCAAGTTTCTCTCCAGGGCCTTTCGTGTGCCGCCGCTTCCCGTCCCCCGTCGCTCCACCGCCACTGCGTGGCCGACCCGTGCTCGGTGATGTGTTTTTCTCGCCCTCGCCATCGTCCTCCTCCTCCTCCTCCCTGGGGGTCTCAGACCTCCAGGCGTCGCGACAGGATCGTGACGGGCGGCTTGCCTCACGCTTCGACCTGCCGGCGCCGCCTTCGGAACCCGGGCCCGTCGAGCACGACCTGGGCCGAGGGGCCCCCTCGTCGACAGAGGCTGGCGGGGAGAGAAGTGAGGCGTCAGCAATCTCCTGGTCCAGCGTCTCCCTGACATTGTTCGGGCATGCCACGTGCCACTAAGTCACTAATTCACCTCTTGGTTGGTTGCTGCTTCCTCGCGGTTCTCCTCGTGACCCCAAAGGGGGTCCAGCTGATAGGGGAGTGGTGCAACATATTTGGGGAAATCGCTTTACAAATGTATTGCGCCAGAGAATTGTATTGCATTGTATTGCGCCTGATGCACTGCACGCGAAAATCCAGCAATCCATATGCGCACTTGAATGTATTGCACACCCCGAACCCACTGCAACCCCATCGAATCGATTGCACCAAATCGATTGCATCACCCCCTTGTCGCAGGACCCCCTTTAGGGTCAACCAGAGGTTCCCCTTCGGCCTTCATTCTCTCACGTGCAGGTCTGGGAGTGGGTCGATGACCTGATGGAGGGGTTCGCCGAACTGTACAAGCTGACAATCACGGGGGCGCGGGGGTGGGCCGGACGCGGCAGCTGCATCAGCATAAGCAGCATCAGAAGGAGAAGGGAGGAGGAGGAGGATCGGGGAGGCCTGCCATCGCTGACCACGCTTGGTCTGCTTAGACATGTGAGACGACTCTGTAGACGGCCTGGTGCACTGTGCGGCACGTGACCATTCTGTTTTTCCTGGCCGCTTGCTCTATACATCGATTTGCTGGATGTTGCCCTTATCCATGGAAGAGGATGGCACTCAACACCCGTTGTTCGTAGGAATCTAAGCTTGGGGGTAAGAAAGCCTCTGTCAGGCCTCCCCCCGTTGGGGAAGTCGTTGTTTCGTGTTTCGTGTCATGCGTGATGTGATGGCGTCTATGCAGTCATGCGCCATGCTGTGTTCCCCAGGGTTCGACGGTCCGAACTGGACTCCTGCTCCTGCCGCATAGGACGTGCCAACCACGGCAGCCTCGGAGTCCTTGTGCAGAGAGCCCGGGACAGCCGTCCCTGGTGTACCCCTCGTGCGTCCACGCTCCCGTCCTGCCCGCTCTCTTCCCCCCGCCGTCCCGAACCCCGTACTTTCGCGCCGCAGGGCCACACCTGCGCAGAAGGTATCCGCAGAGGTGCCTACCCCATCAAGGATCCTCGGGTTGCCCAAACGCGCATTGCCCGCGCGCGCCGTGTGTGCGTGATCGCGCTCGACGCCCTGCCTGGAGTCCACAGCGGTTGGGTCGCATCACGCTCGGGCAGGACGTGGATCTCGGAGTCACGCTCCGATTGGTGGTTCGCGCGGCCTTCGAGGCAGCCTCGGACACCAAACAAGTGATTCCCCAACCTGTTGGTGTTGGGTTCCCTTCTTTCTCCTGACGCACAGCGTGTCCCTCCTTCCTCCATCAGCCCCTCTCCTTACGCATCCAACTACCACTTCCTTCTGCTCCTCCTCGTACTCATCCTGTCTCCTCTCTGCTCCGCCTGCTGCTAATGGAGGATGACGATTCATATATGACCGGGGGTCGTGTTCACGCGGCGGCGCCAGGGATGACGATTAGAAAAAACTGACCGCGGGCTGGAACAAAAAATATTTGTTTTAATCGTTCTCCTCTAGTCAAAAAATGTGCAGAAAAAGCAGAAAACTATTTTTTGAATCGTTCTCTCCCATTTTTTTATTAATCGTCATCCCGCATTACTCTTCCCTTCCCCGTATGGACTCCCACTCACCGCTCGAGGTGGCACGTCTGCGTACCGGGGCCACAACCAGAATGTCCCACCATTCGCACATTGTGCCACCCCATGTGCCCCGCCGCCCCCTCCCCCCAAAAAGAGACTGAGGTAGGCCTCCGAATGACGTATCGCTCATTCTCTTTGCCACCTCAATGGGGAGTGCCTCTCGAGGCCTGAGCGTGGCATGTCCGCGCAACCTAGATCGCGAACGGCATTGCTCCAACCTCTCCCGCACTTCGCCACCCCATTAAGGACTCCCGTCTTCAGGCCTCAGGTGGCACGTCTTCTTCAGGCCTCAGGTGGCACGTCTTCGTAGGGTGGCCGCTCCCAGGATGATTACCCTTCAAGCATACCGCCGTACAAGAGAGATTTCTTGGAAGCATGTCGCCATCCCACAAAAAGAGACTCCGGCCTGAGTCCTCAGACCCCCCCACCACACCACACGCACACCACACGCACCCCCCACCACATCACACGCACACCGCCACCCCTCCCTCGATCCATCCCTCCTCCTTGTCCTCCTCCTCCTCCTCCTCCTCCTCCACCACCTTCTCCTCCTCCTCCTCCTGCTCCTCCTGCTCCTCCTCCTCCTGATCCTCTACCTCCTCCTCCTCCTGCTCCTCCTCCTCCTGATCCTCTACCTCCTCCTCCTCCTCCTCCTCCTCCTCCTCCTCCTTGTCCTCCTCCTGCTCCTCCTCCTCCTCCTCCTCCACCTCCCCTCCCATCGGGGAGCTCCGCCCGAGACGACGGGAGACGGGGCGGGCCTTCTCAGCAGGCTCGGAAGTCCCCTGGCCTTCCGAGAAGTCTTGTGTAAGCCTTCCCCGACGACACAGAACACGTCTCAGAAGGCCGGAGGGCCTCTGAGAGGTCCCGCTGCCTTCTGACAGCCCTTCTCCTTCTCGCTTCCCCCCTCGCTCGCCGCCGAGGATGCCTCTGGCGGCACCTCCGCGGAGCGGAGGCCGCGCTCCCCCAAAGAGTGCCCCCACCCTCGCGCGCTTCGCCACACCTTCTCTCGGAGCCCCCGCTCTCCGAGCTCGAGGGGGGGGCACTTCCGCGCACCGCGGCTGCACCCGCACGCGCCAGCACCCCACGCGTGCCGCCGTCCCAGGGGGTCTCCAGCCGAAGGCCCGAGGTGCCTTCGCGCACCTCGAACGGGCCGCCCTTCGCTGGCCCTACTTCTGCTTCTGCTCAGCCTTCTCATCCTCCCTTCTCGGGCCGAGCGAAAGGGGGAGGCAGGGAAAGGGGGGGGTACCAAATCTGCTGCATGCAGCTGGTTTCGGCCCCGCCGAGAGGCCCATGCCTCGATACATGGGCGCCTCCCAGCGCCGGGAGGCGCCGGGGAAATCAGCTCCGTGAGCTGATTCTCAACCCCCCCCTTTGCTATCCCCCCCTTTCACCCGGCCCGATGCTCATCCTTCTCATCCTCATCCTTCTCCTCCCTCCCTCCCCCTCCTCCTGGTCTCCTTCTGGTGGTCCGCGCCCAGAGGGAGCGCGTCGTGCCGGCGCCCTGGGCAAAGGGCATGCGCACGGTTCCGGCCCCTTCGGGCTCCGGTGCTGGGGCACCTGCCCTGCGCGCGTGCCCGCACTGCGGGGGCAGGCTTCCGCAGTCCCTCTCCTCCTTCCTCCCTCTCCCCTTCCCTCTCTCCTCCTTCCTCCTTCTCCTCCCGTTCCTCCTTCCTCCCTCCCCCCTCCCTCCTTCTCCCCCCCTCCTCGCCACGCCTCCCTCCCGCTCCCAGGAGGAGAACATAGAAGCACTTGAGCGCTGCTTGCCAGAAACATATGGAACATTTTGGACGTGGAGGGAAAGACGAATACTCCGAACATGAGGCAAATATTGGGAATCCTGGGATTTGTATTTATTCATGTGTGTGTGTCCCTGGGCCCCTTCCTCCTCCTCGTCCTCCTTCTCCTCCTTCTCCTCCTCAGCCTCCCCCGAATCCAATCAAGCCAGGGTTTGTCCTAGACGAGAAGGGCCCAGAAAAGGCCCCATCGCGAGCCAGGGATCCCACTGACCACGGGCACGCCTCCAGATAATCGAGGCTAGAGGACACGACTTTTCCTACAGTCTAGCTTGGCCATGAGGATGATAAGGTATCGAGCCTCGCTGCTCTTGTAGTAGTAGTAGGAGGAGGAGGAGGAGGAGGAGGAGGAGGAGTCGCCCGGCAAAGGTCCAGGCTCAACCAGATCCTCCCTCCTCAGCCCTTACCCTCTTGGGCTGCCGCCGTGATCATTCGAGTTGGGCATGCCACTTGAGTTGGCCACTCTGCAGAGTACCAGTCGCGCGCAGAGTGAGGAGGGAGGGACAAGAGAGAGAGAGAGAGAGAAAGAGGACAAAACAAGAGAGATAATGAGAGAAAGAGACAGAGAGAGAGAGAGAGAGCGATAGAGAGATGGGAGAGAGGGAGGGAGAAGGAAGAAAGAGAGAGAGGGGTGAGATAAGCAGTGAGAGAAATAAAGGATCGAGAAGGGAAGCGAGAGAGAGAGAGAGTGCGAGAGAGAGAGAGAGAGACAGAGGGACAGAAAGAAAGAGAGAGAGAGAGAGTGAAACAGAGAGAGAGAGAGAGCGATAGAGAGACGAGACAGGCCGGCGAGTGAGAGCCGCCGGCTGGGCTGGCGCCCCCCCCCCTCGCAGGAGAGCTGCGTCGAGTCGTGGGATACCATCCAGAGAACTTTCAACCCCCCGTCGGATTCCAGGACACCCGCCCGCCCAGCGCCCGCGCCCCTCTCCCAGCCTGCTCGGGCGTCGAGTAATGGGGGGGGGCGATCAATGGGAGGGTGATCGGACGGGGCTAGGACGAGGATAAACCCGCTCGAGAGCGCTCCGGAGCGCTCTCAGAGCGCTCCGGAACGCTCTGCGAAGGCCACGGCGCCTGAGACATCCCAGAGCCGCCAGATCTCGGAGATTCTCGATTTATCCCCGCCCGATGTGATCCTCGTCTTGGCTTCGACCTGGGTGAGGAGAGGTTCACCTCCTGGGCTCTGAAAGGAACCCCAAACTAAATGGGGCCCCAAGGGGCACGAAGGGTGCACGCTTCTCCTCCCCCCCATTTATCAGGAGGGAAAACAACTCGCAGACACAAGTAATCGTCGACTCGCATGAAAATATGGGAAAGTAAGGGAAGTGTGGGGGGAAGACGAAAACACAGCAAGTATGAGAAAATATTGGGATCCGGGGATTTTGTGTTATACATGTATGTATGCATGTATGTATGCAGGTAGGTAGGTATGTATGCATGCATGTGTACGTATGTATGTGTGTATGTCTGTTGTATGCATGTATGCAGGCAGATAGGTATATAGGTAGGTACGCATGTATGAATGAATGCATGCATGCATGTATGCATGCATGCATGTATATGTATTTATGCATGTATGTATATATATACACATATTTATATATATATATATATATATCTTCATATATATATATATATGTATGCAAAGGTGTATCTATGTATATGTATGTGTGTATGTGCGTGTGTCCCTGGGCCCCTTTAACTTTTATCGCCCCCCCGTGAATCCACGCCCGAGCGGCCCGCGCTCTCCTTGCGTTAGAGTGCGACAGCCCGTCGCGCAGCCGCTGCTCCGTGGCCACCGCGCGCTTCCTCCTCGTGGGGGCCAGCGTGCACATCCACACCCGCCGCCTCCTGAGGCCCAGGGGAAGACCGCTTCCTCTCCGGGCGGCGGAGGTGGAGAAGGCCTCGCCTTTCATCTCGTCCTCGTTCTTCTCTCGGCGGCGAGCGATGGCGGGGAGGGGAGGAGGAGCAGACCTTCCCAGACAAGGCGGCGGGACTTCTCCGAAGCCCTCGCGCCTTGTGAGAGGTGTTTTTGCTATGCCTTCGGGGAAGGCTTAGAGAACACTTCTCCGTAGGCTGGCGAGCAGCAGAGCCTTCTCTGAGAAGGCCTTCTCCCTCTCCCTCCCCCCCCTGGGCTCGCCGCAAATCCTGACGCTGCGTTGCGTCCGTGTCCACCGCCTCCCGAGGCCCAGGAAGCTCCATTCTCCAGTCGGCAGAGGTGGAGAAGTCCCCGCCTCGTGTCGTCCTCGTCCTCCTTACACGCTGCGATACTCGAGGAGCGTCGCAGCTGCACCACGCCCGCCGAGACAGTCCAACAACCCCCCCCCCCCTCGTCGCGGAGTCAGCGACACCGCGCGGAGAAGGCGCTCTCCAAAAGCCCCCCAGCGCTGCGCGCTGTGCGCCGACGAGCCGAGGGCGCCCCCGCCCCACCCTCTCCGCCGCGCTGCGTGGCGATCGCGCGCAGGATATATCGGGATGGCCGCCCTTGATGGGCAAATGTTCCATCGCCACTACACTATGTGGGACGGGGAAGAAGGGAGGATGATGAGGTCCTCCTCCTCCTCCTCCTCCTCCTCCTCCTTCTTCTCCTCCTCCTCCTCCTCCTCCTCCTCCTCCTCCTCCTTCTCCTTCTCCTCCTCCTCCTGCTCCTCCTCCTCCTCCTCCTTCTCCTCCTCCTCCCTCTCCTACCTAAGGTAGTGGTGGTGGAAAATGGGCCCATCAGCCCTGTTCTTCCCCTCTCCCTTCGGAGGAGCGGCTCGAGTCAGAACGCGGGTCAGAGGGGCGCACGACCTCGGAGAAGGAGCAGGCAATTACCCATACCGCTGCCCTCGCCTCGTCTTCCCCTCTTTGGACCTCCCGGGGCGCCCTCGTCGCCACCGCGGGAGCCGCCTCGAAATCCTGGTCAGAGCGCACCCCAGGAGAGGGCCCCGGGGAGTACGGTAGGTTTGCGTCGTGTCGACCAGCGGCGACCCCAGCGTGGGCGTTCAAGGTTGAACGCCGCTGGCGACCCAGAATCGATCGACGTTGAACGATCGGACGTTGCGGCAGCGGCCGATCCTTCAAGGTTGAACGATCCCTGCGGTGTCAAAAACCAACGCTGGGGTCGGCAGGACACGAACCTGCCGTAGGGGTATCGGTACCTGTTGATTTCCCCCCCCATGGGCGCACGACCATGGCCTCGTCATCAACGCTTGCTGCTCCTGTGGGTGCCGCCGTTGCTGGCGCTGCTGCCTCAGCTGCTGCTGCGGCAGCAGCTGCGGCTGCGGCGGCCGCCGCCACTGCTATTCTGCTGCGGCTCGCCGGTACCCTTCAGTAGGCCCTCGCGAGTGCCCAGGGCCTCGCGCAGCTCCGCGCCGACCTCCGCGTTCGGCCCGCGGCGAACCCCCCACCCCCCTCCGCCCAGATCCTCGATCCTCGAGCCTCGATTTTGACTTCGACCCTCGATCCTCTCGAGCCTCGCACCTCGAGGCTCGATTCTCGAACCTCGAGCCCTCCGAGCCTACAGTCAACCCGCACAGTACGGACGGGCAACCTTTCAAAGGGTACCCTTGCATCCTTGTCTCCTCGGCCCATCATTGGCCACTTTCGTTGGCCGCGCCCCGCTCGAGAAGTGCCGTCATGGTCTTCCAAGGCCCCTGCAACCCTACCGCGCATCCTTCCTGGACGGGTTGACTGTCAATCCCCCCCCCCCTGGAAACGTCCCGCCCATCGAAGAAGAAAAACGCCATAAACATAAGCCTTTGGCGATCCGCGCGGATTTCTTGGATCCGCGCTGGGGCCCCCTGGCGGCGCCTCCGGCGCCGCCCCTGGCGCGCTCCGCGCGCCAGGGAGAGGGTCCCAGCGCAGAGCCAAGAATTTCGCGCGGAGCGCCAAAGATTAATGTGGTTATGCCTGTTTTTCCTTCTGCTCCAGGGGCGGCCACCTGCTCGCGCTCGCTCTTGATGGGCCTGTTTTCCACCACCACCACCACCACCATAAGTTGGAGGGGGGAAGTAGGAGGCCCGCACCGCTCCACCCTGCCCTGGCATCGGGGGGCCCCAAACGGTGCGGTGACCACACCGTGCGGTGAGCCAGTGGGGATTCGGGGTCACCGCACGGTTTTGGGAGCGGAGAGGCCCTCTCCGAGTCCGTCTCGGGCGACAGGGGCCTCCGGGGTCCCAAAACAGTGCGGTGACGGACCGTGCGGTGAGAACTCTTGGGGTTCCGAGGTCACCGCACGGTCTGTCACCGCACCGTTTCGGGACTCCAAAGTTCCACCCTGCCCGGGCAGGTCCCCTCGAGGCCCAAGGGCGGGCATGTCCCTCTGCAGAAGGAATAGCCGAACGTAGCCAAGAATTAGTGCGGGGGCGATGTTTGTCGAGTATGTTTGTCCCTTGTTTGGATACTTTTGACTCGTGCCTTTTCCTTCCAAGATCCGCCTGCAGGAGGACATGCCTGGCCCAACTCTGGGCGCGCGCAGCCCTGCGGGGGTGAGGCCGCCGACGCCTGCTATATGCGGCGGCGAGCGGCGTGGGGAAGGGAGAGAAGGAGAAGGCCTTCCCAGAATCGGGAGTCCGCAAAGGCGGGGGGGTGTCCCCAGGGTGTGTGTGTGTGTGTGAAAGAGAGAGAGAGAGAGAGAGAGAGAGAGAGAAAAAGAGAGAGTGAGAGTTCGATCGGTTTTTGCAACGAACCGCCCAAAACGGATGCCCCCCAGCCGCCGGCAGCTCCGGATACAGTAGTTGCCGATGGGCGAGAATGCGGGGGGGCATCCGCTTGTGGCAGCTCGGTGCACCAGCGGATCGAACTCATGCCCCCATTTAGGGTCACCTCCCCTTTGGTGGATCCCGAGAAATTCTCTGTCTCCGGGGGCGGCTCAGAGAAGTTCCGAGAAGGCCAGGGAGCTTCCGAGCCTCCCGAGAAGGCTCGCCCCCTCCTCACTTCTCCCCGGGCACGCCGCCTGGTCATCCCGACTCACTCGTCTCGTCCTGGTCCTGCCCCTCCTCCTGACTGCAGCGGAGAGCCCTGGCATCGGATCACGACGCCAACGTGGCCCTGAACGGGTCAGCACGCCATCGGTATCGAAAGGCACACCACGTCTCATCGAGCACCCCATGGGCGGCGCACGAAAAAGAGGGAGGACGAGGAGGTCGAGGACGTTGCCGAGGAGGTGGAGGATAAGAAGGAGGAGAAGACTCGAAGACGGTGGAGGAGGATGGAGGAGGGACGCGTGCCCCCGCACCTTGGTTTTTGACGTCAGATTTGCAGCCCCATGTTTGTAGGCTGTATGCATGTTCATCCTTCTCTTCCTCTCTCCTCGCCCCCCGCCTCTTTCTCCCCCTCCCCTCCCCTTCCGCCCCTCGCCTCCGTTCTCCTCGCCTCTCTCTACCGTCTCCCCTCCCCTCCTCTTTCCTCGCCCCCCCGTCCCCTCCCCTTCCCCTCCTCTCCCTATCCTGCCTTCCTCCCCCTCCCGTCCCTCCCCATCCCCTCGCCCGCACCTCCCCTGCCCTCCCTCTTCTCTCTCCTCCTCGCTTGCCCTGGGCGGTCCAGAGTCCAGAGTCCCAAGGGCGCCCTCGAGGGCGCGAAGTTATTCGCGCTTCGCGGCTCGGCTCCGATCCCTCCTCATCCTCCTCTTCCTCCCCTGGGAGGCGGCAAGCTATTCGCACTTCGCGCTTCGCGCAGCGCGAAGCGCGAAGTTGGGAGCCCTTGGAGTCCAGAGTCCAAGCGCAGGAGCCACCACCGGGGGCCCCTGGAGGCGGCAGGGGCCCCGGGAGGCCACGGGGATCCAGGGTCCGAGCCCCGTCCGCTCCAGCGCGCCTTCCCTCCTCGCCCCGCCTCGCTCGGAGGAGGTGGAGGTACCAGGGGCTCCCACGAGGGCGCGAAGTTATTCGCGCTTCGCGGTCCTCGGTACTTCTCCCCCTCCTCCTCGTCCTCCTTTTCTCCCTTTGGGGGGGCGGCGCGAGGGCGCGAAGTTATTCGCGCTTCGCGGAGCGCGAAGCGCGAAGTTGGGAGCCCTAGAGGTACAGTCGGCCCAGATCAGTAGGTCGACCCTGCCAGGTCACGGGCACCCTCGTGCCCTGGGCCCCGCGGCCCATGCCGTCTTGCATTCTCCTGGTCATGTGGCCCTCGGCAGGGTATGGTGTCCTCTCGCGTGTCCTCTCCCATCGGTTCCGACAGTGGAGGAAGTGGAGCAGGGGCAGGGCGAGGAGGAGAAGGTCGGCAATGCCAGAGTGCCTGCGTGTAACAGCCTGGCTCACGCGCGCCTCGAAGCCTTGCAGCTGCAGCCTCGTACCCTATATGTCCTTCTCTCGTCTCGCCTTGCCCCTCATCCTTGTGTGCATGTGCCTGCTGTCTGAAGCTACCAGAGCGTCCGACACCAAGTCGATAAAAAGGGTCAACAAGTGAAGGTTGAGGATGAGGAGGAGGAGGAGGAGGAGGAGGAGGAGGAGGAGGAGGAGGAGAAGGAGCGAACGTAGGGGTCAGGGGCCTTGCGCATCACGTTTGTTGCTACTTTGTCTTACGCGGGCATCTGTTCTCCCACGTACGCATTCCACTATGCTCTGCCTGTGCATGATACTTTGAACGCGGAGGCGACATGGTGCCGCCCCGACGTTCAGGCACGAGTGAGTAGGCGGCCGTTGTGACACCTTGCCTTTCAAGGAACTGTATCCAGAATGACTGCTGGTGTATCTTACGTCGGCGCTGTATGGACAGTAGCGCTTCTGATAAGCGTGGCGAGGTGGCCACAGCGATACAGCAGCAATGCCATATCGTCATGCGCGCCCGTGTGTCTTCTCCGACCTTTGACTCCATCCAGCAATTTCTACCCGTCGCCGCGCTGGGCGTCCAGTTGCGCTTCCTCGCGAATCCGCCACCGAGCTCGGGCGGGCGCTTGAAGGGGGGGGGCTTGAGGAGCCAGATAGTTGCCTGGGAGTGGTGGGGTGCCTTTGATTTCCCTAGGCGGCATCTTCTAGTCGGACAGAAAAGAACGCAGGGACTTGGCAAACCACATGTCCCATGTTCGGTTCAAAGCGTCAGGGGTCGATCATGCTCCGCAAGAAGCCATAACGATAACAACACCAACACCAACAACAGCAACACCATCACCAGCAACACCACCAACAACAACACCAACACCAACACCAACAACAACACCACCAGCAACAACAACAGCACATCAACACCAGCACCAACACCACCAACACCACTCACAATAACAACATCAACATTAACACTACAAGTAGCAATACCGACACCAACACTTAGCAACAACAACACCACCACCACCAACCACACCAGAATCAACCACATCAACATCACAATGGCAAGCATGTTAAGACTGCTCGTTCGCAGCTGCTCGCGTACCATTCAACGCGTGTATCCCAAACCCTCGATACCCGCACTCTTCGTCTGCGATCGTCCCACCTTGGGGCAACAGCGGAACAACTATCGAGACAGCCGTCTCCGTCCATCGAACAGATTCGATCGGTCTCTGTATCAATCGGCCTCACGATTGATCAATCGGTCTCACTACCAATGTATGTAGCGACGTATCTATCAATCTAACCGCCGGCCTCTCTATCTATCGGTCTCGCAATCTTTCGATCTCACTACCTTTCCATCGATACCACACTTCCCCCCACGGTTTTCCCATTTATCTAAGGGCCTCTACCTAACGATCTCACGGTCACATTGTTTTACCGATATGTCTATCGACAGAGGTATCTATCTACCGATCTCGCTGCCGATCTGTCGATCTCACTATCTATCCATCGGGACAGCCATCGGGCCAACCAGCTCACTATATTGGTGTTGGTCAACGTCTCGAGGAGCCGAAGGCGCCGAGCGCACTTTGTTGTTGACCAAGTTTCATCGGGACAGCCCATCGGGACAACCATCGGAACAGCCATCGGGACAACCTCACCGGTGTGTCTACAGATCTATCTCACTATCGGTCAATCGATCTCGCTGTCAATCTATGTAGCGATCTGTTTACCGGCCTCATGGTTCCTCCACCGATAGCACTATCAATCAACCAGTTTACCATCGGGGCAACCGTCGGGACACCCATCGGGACAGCTACGGGACAGCCACGACCCACGGGATAGCCGCACGCCCGCGCACGCAGCGGCGCCCCGCCCGCACAGACGGCGAGCACACGTCATGTGCTGCGGTGTGTTGCCGAGCACGAGCCATCGGACGGCCGTCTGCTGCCACCAGCGCGAGGGGAGAGCGGCCATCCACAGACGGCCGCCTCTCCAAACTGGCCCTGGGTGCTGCGTAAAAAAGCGGGGCCAGCACCTGCAGCGGCCGTGGCAGCAACGGCGGGAGTTGCGTTGGCAGCGGCGTTTGCGGTGGCGGTTGAAGCAGTGGCATCAATTCCAGTAGCGGCGGTAGCGCGTTGGTGGCAGTTGCGTTGCATCGCCAATCCGCGCTATGTTGTTTGTACATAGTCGGGAACGCATCGTCAATAGCATGTGTGGCAATCTGCCAGTGCAGGCCGATGCGAATCAACGCCAGGTGGCGCGGACCCAGCTTGAAGAGCGGCTGCTCAGCAGGCGCACATCAGGACGGGTGGGGCTCAACTATAGTATTCGAAGGGGTGGTCGCGTCTGGGAGACGTGAGCTCTGTGAGAGCGCAGTTGTGTGCTGCTCTGTCTAGGCTGGTTCTGCCCTCCATCGCCGTCACCCTCCACGTCCTCATTCTCTTCGTCGCACTCATCCTCCTGCTCCTCCTTTTGCTCCCTGCTCCCTTCTCGGTCCTCCCGCTGCCCTCCCTCCGTCCGTCCTTCCCTCTCCCCACTCTATTCCACATTTCGCTCTCCTCCCTCGTCCTGTCCACCCTCCTCCCTCCTCTCTCACTTCCTCCTTCGTGCCTCCCTCTTCCCTCGGCCCTCCTGTCTCCTCCCTCCTCCCTTCCCTCCCTCCTCCCTCCTCACATGTGTCCCCCTCCTGGTCTTGTCTCCTCCCCCCCTCCGTCCTCCTCGCTCCCTCACTCCCTCACTCCCTCGATCCTTGGCCCTCTCCCTCTCCCCCACGCTTCCTCGCTCCCTCCCTCCTGCGTCTTTTCCAGCCTATGGTCCATTCCTCATCCTTCTCCTCCTCCTTCTCCTCCTTCTCTTCCTCCTCCTCCTTGTCGTCATCATCCTACTCAACATCAGCATCGTCATCACCATCTTCGTCCCCGTCATCATCAGCAGCAGCATCCTCGGCATCAACAATTACCACACAGTATCATCACCACGGTCAACCTCATCGTCATCAGCATCGACATGGTCATCACCTTCAGTGTCATCATCAGTTTCGGCATCCGCATCAGCATCGCCATCAATGTTTCAACTTCGTCATGATCACCAACGTCATTCGTTTCATCATTAGCACCATCGTCGGCATCATCATCACCATCATCATATTCATCATCGTCATCACACTCATCATCACCATCATCCGATCGTCGTCATCATCATCGTCGTCACCATCACCAACATCGGTATCATCAGCATCAGCACTTACTACACCTTACCATCACCGTGATCAACACCACCGTCGTCGTCACCATTGCCATCATCATAATCAGCGGCATCATCACTGTCAGCATCACCATCATCAGCACCAGCATCGTCATCACCGCCATCATCAGCGTCAGCATCCGCATCACCACCACCACCACCATCATCATCATCATCATCATCATCAACAACATCATAGTCACCATCTTCATCATCATTATGCTTTACCATCATAATCAGCATCAGCATCAGCATGTCCACCGTCACGGTCATCGTCGGCGTCGCCAACGTCGTCGTCGTCACCGCCATTATCATCATCACCATCACCACCATCATCAGCAACACCATCACCAACAACCGTCACTCGTCCTCCTACTTCGCCCTTCCCTCCTCCCACTCCTCCTCGAACACATCGGAAATGGCAGAATCCAGCGTGCATGCGCCCTGGCCTGCGTAGAAGGAACGTTAGGGCCGCTCCTCTGTGCGATAGCAGCCTCCTCCTCCTCCTCCTCCTCCTCCTCATCATCATCATCATCATTCTCTGCCTCATCATCCTTCTCTGCCTCCTCCTCCTCCTCCTCCTCCTCCTCCTCATCATCATCATCATCAGCATCATCATCATCATCATCATCATCATCAGCATCACCATCATCATCATTCTCCTTCCATCCTCGTCCTCCTCCTCCTCCTCCTCCTCCTCCTCTCCTCCTCTCCTCCTCCTCCTCCTCCTCCTCCTCCTCCTCCTCCTCCTCCTCCCAGTCCAGCTGCCAGTGCTGCTACTCCCGCTCCCGCTGCGGCTCCCGTCTCTTGCTCCCCGCTGCTGCTCCTCCCGCTCCACCCACCCGCCTGCCCGCAAGCCACGCGGTGAGAGCCTGCGGCGCGGTGTGCAGGGGCCGACCGTCTGGACATTTGGGAGAAGTCGGGAGGGGGCCCTCGGCCCGAAGAATCGTTCCGAGGGCGAGGGAGGGACCCGTCATGAGGACGGGGGGAAGGGAGAGGGGAGAAGGAGGCGGGAAAAGAACGGAGGGAGGGACACGAGAGGAGAGGGACAGAGGGAGGATAAGGAGGAGGAGGAGGAGGACAAGGAGGGGGAGAGAGAGAGAGAGAGAGAGGAAGAGCGATATATATATATATAGAGAGAGAGAGAGTGAAGGAAGGAAAAGAGAGGAATGAGAAAGGGAGGGAGGACGGGGGGAGTAGGATGAGGAGAACCAGGGAAGCAAGAGACGAGGAGTAGAGGTGTGTGGGGGGGATGAGGATAAGAGGAAGGGGAGGAGCGGCGGGAAGAGGGCACACATAGGTGGAGGTGGTCGGATGAGGGGGTGAGGAAAGGGAGGAGGAGGAGGAGCAGGAGGAGGAGGGTCAGGAGGAGGAGGAGGAGGAGAAGGAGCAGTTATAGGCGTAGTGTAGAAAAAGGAAGATGAGTACGGATTCGGAGAAGGCCCTGGAGAAGGGAGACGTGTAGAGACCTGGCTGAAGGGAGCGACGGGATGCGCTCGCCCACACACGTGAGAAAAAAGCTGCGGCCGTTCACAGGCCCAGAAGCTGGCGGCGCGCCTTGTCCGCACGGCCAGGACGCTTTCCAGACCACGCCGTGGCGTCATGGCACGGTCGGCTCCGCCTTCAGCCGTCTCTGGCGCCATCGTCGCCAGCGGCGCCGCGCCACGCCGCGCCAGCTTCATCACCACGCCTGGCTCCAGACCGATCCAGAGCACCATTGGCGGGGTGGACCCCGTCGTCGACGGAGCGCTTTCGCAGCCAGGGCGGCGGGCGATGCGGTAGGTGGCTGAGCCTCAGCACAGCACCCCGAACAGCACCGCCAGCAGCAGTCGGCTCAGGCGGCTCGACACACGCGAAGGGTGTGACCGATACCGTGGAGCGCGCGGCAGCTGTCCCAGCGCGCCGAGGCGCACGCGCGAGCACCTTGCCGCACACTGCCGCCTCCATCAAGGAGGCCGCATGCAGCGGCGCCGCAGCCCGGTCAGGCCCTCGCCACTGCCGCCACCGAGCCGAGACGCGGGGCAGCCAGGCGGCGCGCCCGCTGGAGCAACGCAGCGGTGGTGGTGTAATGGCTGTCGGCTCGTGCCCCCGCCGTGCCTAGGCTTCGGGCAAGAGTTCTTTTGGATGCCCCTTGGGGTGGCATCGGCGGAGGGTGGCCCCCTCCCTCCCCTTCCCTCCCCCCCGCTCGGGCGGCGGAGGCGGCGGCCTGGTTGGCGCCCCCTATTCCTCCGGGGTGGGTGGGTGGTCTTCGGGCGGAGGCTCAGGCAGGGCGCCGGCCGGCAGCGCGGCACTGCCACGGCGGCCTCTGAGCAGGTTGACCCAGCGCGCCCCGGGCAAAGCCTGGGGATCATGCGGCAAGGCCAAAGGACGCCTACCGCATATATCAGCACATATATGCCCCTTGGGGTCTCTTGGGATGCCCCTTCATGCTGAGGAAGGCTTCTGCTTTCGATGTTTGGTAGGCCCCGCCAGAGACGCAAACGCATGGGGGGTGGGCGGCCCTTGTTATCCTGGCATGCAGTTTTCGGGCTCGAGCATGCTCGACGACGAGGAAGACCGCGGCGACGATGATGGCGATGGCGGCCGTGGCGACGAGGAGATGGAAGGAGAGGGCGACGGTGGCAACGGCGCTGGCGAATCTAACAGTGATGAGTGACGAAACTATTGGCGGTGCTGGCGATGGCGGCGGAGATGGCAGCTGGCGGCAGCCAGAGGTAGCCGGTGGTCGACCTCGATCGCGGAATGACGCGAATGAGCCGCCCCCTTGTAACAATAAATGATTGGATGTCGCGTGGGCCTGGCGGCCGGATTCGTAGGCCCCCAGGCGGCCAGGGAGGGAACCCTTGCTTACTTTTGTGGTTCAAATACCCGATGCTGTTGCTCGGGCACCTTTTGCCTGGCTGATCCGAGTCAAATATCCGATGCTGTTGTTCAATATCCGATGCTGCTATCCGATTCAAATATCCGATAGCCCGGCGACCTTTTGATTCGCGATGTTGCTGTGGCACCTGTGAATTTTGTGCGAGGGAAGAACTTGTCATTAAATATCACCCAGGGTATGGCAGAACATCTCAGAATCTGTTTGGGGCCTTTCGGACAACACCTGTGTCCGACGCGGTTTCCGGCGCGATTTCCTGCAGGTGTCTGGCGGTTTCCGCGGTTTCTGCTGCTCCCTTGCGGTGCCCCCCCAAACGGGCATCGGACTTGTGCTTCTCGCCCGAAGCTCCCCGACCAGCCCCCTGGTACTGAGCTCCCGCTGTGCGCAGGCCCCCGCGCGGTCCGTCCCCGCCGCGCAAGGGCGACAGTCTTGCCAGAGAGTCGACCACCCCCAACGACATTTGCACTGTGGCTTCATCTGGGGGGCTGCGTCCGCCCCTGTCTATTGGGCCCTCATGCATGGGTAGGGGCAGGCCGTGGAAGCGAAATACAAGATTGCTACAATGTTGCTCGTGAGCCAGCCTCTGAGATACCCCCCCCAATAGCGCAGACCCCCAAGACAAAGCCAACATCTGCACCTTGGCCAATCCCGCCGTCACCCTCGTCATCACCGGCATGCAGCCACGCGCAGAAGGGGGAGGTAGGGCGAGGGGCGAAGGCTTCTCAGAAGCACCCCGCTCCTTCGAGGGAGGCGCAGGCCCCATCTACAGAGGTAAGGCCCGCGCCTTCTAAGAAGCAGCCTCCTTCAGGGAAGCCTTCCTCCCTTCCTCAGCCCCTTTTGTGCGCGCCGCCAAAACACGTCGGCGTCCCTGGTGCCACCCCGTTCACCGCCATGGGCCATGGGTATCTCACTATGATCGTTCATACGGGCTTCGAGACGCAACAAAAAGAACAAAACTGAGCCTTCGCCGAT